CTTTTCCAGCTGGGAGATTTTGTAAAATTAATTGCAAGCTGCCTTTTTAGGCTCCCTCTGCCTTTTTATTGAAATTGAAATTGTTGTCTTCAAAAAGATATGATTTAGGAGTTCTAAGAAAGGCTGGCTATAATTTACTAGTACTGACACTAAAATGTCTTTGATTATGGGAGGTAGTACGAGCTCGATCTGCTGATAAAATATGGTAAAATAGCAGAGTAGGTAAAACTTTTAAAATATGTAAAACTAGATGCATATGTTCAATGATTCTTTTCCCCTCTCGGGAGAGGTAGTGGATAGCTAGGTATTCCATTAAAAGCCACAGTTTCAAGTAAGAACCAGAGAGAGTCCCTCCGATTAATTTCTGTCGTTGGTATCTAGCTCAGTGCCTGCCACGGAGTAGGTGCTATGCTGCTCTAGAGGTTGCCTTCCGCCAAACAAGTGCACGCGGTATTTCTTAATACAGACAAAGCAGGTTTCTACATTTAGAACAGGAGAACAAGCCATCACTGGTTGTCTACTTGGGTACTCCTCGGTGGGTGTGTTCACTTAGAAAACCAAATTACAGATCTGAAGGCCGCCGGGTGGGGACAGGATTAGAACAAAGGGAATGAGATTGAATGTTATTTAAGGGATATTTCTGTCGTTATGGTTTCCTGGTGAATTGCCATTCGGTCTTTTAGTGCTATTTCTGTATTTTTTTTCCTTACTGTTTGTTTAATTCTGTTTTTAAAATGCTTGTTAGATTAGAGAATTCTTTTCCTGGTTAATACCTGAGAATCAATGGTCCTACAAAAATTGTTTTTTGCCCCATCGCTTGTTATATGCAAGGTACTGGGACACGTATTGGGGTGGAGATCAAAAGATTCAGAAGAGTCTTTGTCAAGAGACTTGCAACCTAATAAGGAAGATTGCTGTGTACTGACCAAGTCTTCCTCCTCCAACCCCCTTTAAAATGGTCCTGTCAGTTATTAACAACATCTGTTTATTACTACTCTTACTTCAAAATGGAGTTTCCGCATGTGGTTATTTTATGTTAGTTATATTTTAGGATGGGCACTTCCTGGCATCTTTTAATCACATCAGTGAGCTGTCTTCTAATTAATGCCCAACAGAGGTTATTTCAGGGAGGGCTCGTGCAAATGCTAATTCTCCCCATTGCCTACACCTCTATTCTACCTAAGGCTAATAAACTGCCAAATGGACTAGACTCTGGGCGCTGTGGTCAGTTTCATGTAGTTTTGAATTCACAGTTCTCCAATATTTATTTTAAAAATCTCTGCCTTCTGCTTCTGTTATATCACCGAGAATACAAAAAGAACAATTAAGCCCCTGTTCTATGCTATGTCAAAACTGGAGTCAATCACAGATTAAATTATGCTCAGATACGTCATTTCAGAAGTCAGGGTAAAGTAGAATACATTTAAAAATATTTTTTAAAGATTTATTTATTAATTTGAGAGAGAGAGCATGAGTGGGAGGGGCAGAGGGAGAGGGAGAGAATCCTCAAGTAGACTCCATGCTGAGTGTGGAGCCCGACACAGGGCCCGATCCCAGGACCCGGAGATCATGACCTGAGTCAAAATCAAGAGCCAGCAGCTCAACCAACTAAGCCGTCCAGGCACCCCTTAAAAATATTTTTCTATCAGGACCCCTGGGTGGCTCAGTCGTTAAGCATCTGCCTTCGGCTCAGGTCATGATCCCAGGGTCCTGGGATCCAGCCCCGCATCGGGCTCCCTGCTCCGCGGGAAGCCTGCTTCTCCCTCTCCCGCTTCCCCTGCTTGTGTTCCCTCTCTCACTGTGTCTCTCTCTGTCAA